CCAGTTTGCTTTATGGGTGGCATTCTTTGAAATCTACAATGAGTGTGTGTATGATCTGCTTCAACCTTCCCTGTGCTCCAAGTCCAAGAAACGTGCTGCTCTTCGAGTATGTGATGATGGTGCTGGAAACGCTTACGTTAAAGGTGTGAGAATGTCTTTATTGGGCGTTCTTAAGTTGGTAGAAACATACCAGCAATAGTCTTTATGTTGCTCAAGGTTTAAATTAGTTTTCTGTTTTATCAATTTCAGATCTTAGGTGGATTAACATCCAGACCCTGGGCGAAGCCTCCAAACTACTACAGTTCGGAAACAAAAACAGAAGCGCTGCAGCCACAAAGATGAACCAGTCGTCTAGCAGAAGGCAAACTGTTCATTTCATCACCTCTTTACACTCATTTTCTGTTTTTCAAAACTCATACCAGCTTTCCTTTACAGCCACAGCATATTTACCATGAAGCTACTGAAGATCGACGGCAGCACAGTTAAAAGGATCTCTGAGTAAGTATCTCAGAGACATCCTCATTTCCTACCTAGTGATAGTTTTTCTGTGTGGCTACATTGGTTGAGTAGTTGTGCACAGAGAGACATATTTAACTTTTCTGTAACATTGTTTTTTTTTTTTGATTATTTTTATACTCGCACACTGTCAAACCTTTTCATAAAAATGTTTCTGAAGACAAGTGATGTTACTGCACTTGTGGTTTTTACATTAAACAAGGTGATGCCAATATGGAAAATAATGCAATCATAATGATAAATATAATTTTTTTTATAGCATCTCTCACACAAAATGGAACTCAGAGGGCTTACAATTAACTATAGCAGACAATTCAAACAAGAGCTTCAAAAATGCATTTGTAACATGGGATAAACACAGGACATGACCATGACAAAGAATTAGTTCAGAGCCTTACTGCTCAGGAGTCATTTGACCAAATTCAGTTTGTACCTGATTTGGCAGTCCAGTTGACCACTGTGATGGCTCCAGCACCATCAAAGGAGCCCAAACACAGAAAAAACATTCTACTTTAATGTGTGTGTTTCTCAGGTTTTCTCTGTGTGACCTGGCTGGCTCAGAAAGATGCAACAAAACCAAGACGTTCGGAGAGAGGCTGAAGGAGGCAGGGAACATAAACAACTCCCTGCTCATTCTGGGGAAGTGCATCACTGGGCTTCGCAACAATCAGACTGACCGGTACAGTTGGTTAAAAATGTGTCAGATATTTATCACCAGCTACAAGTATGTTTGACAAGAATGAAGATGCCAATGGTTTGAACTGTCAATGATAAGACTCACATGGATAGGTGATTGATTTTAAAAGTAGTGCAAGCGCAATCTCTTAAATGGCGTAAAAGCAAGGCAGCAATGACTGTTGACGATTTTAGGCGTTTTTCATCACTAATACCCTCCCAACAAGTGTGTGTGCATTGTTAAAGTCCTTTTATTTCTATGTTCATCAGAATGAAGAGCAGCTACATCCCTTTCAGAGAGAGTAAGCTCACCAAGCTCTTCCAGGCCGTTTTCTGTGGCAAAGGAAAAGCGTCCATGATCGTCAACATTAACCAGTGTGCTTCCACCTATGACGAGACACTCCATGTTATGAAATTCTCTGCTGTTGCCAAACAGGTTAGTCTGGGCACATACTGGTGCGCGAGGAAGCGGTATAATGAGCTGGATCAAGAACAATCTTGTTGAGCCAACACCACTAATCTTATCTGTGCTGTCTGTAGGTGGTGCAGGTGATCCCAGACAAGCCTGTGGAATCTCTGGCTCCTTGTTTGGTCGGCCGTGATGGTAAACCTCTGGTGAGGAACGGGGTGATCGACAGCCAGGCCCTGGAGAGCTGCCTGTCTGAGGAAGAGCTGCTTGATGACGAAGATGAGGCTGACATGTCTTTGCTGCCACAGAATGTACTGAACTGCTACTCAATGTCACATTCAAACATTGTTTCTTAAAACATTCTTAAAGTTGATGGTGATGTTAGCATGTAGCTCAATGCACCGCTCTCCCTAAATACAGCCTTACAGAGCTGCCATCATGACTGTAGTGGTGGTTTTTACTTCAACATATCATCCTTCAGTCATTACAAGATGCACGGTGCAGATCAAAATTGTCTCCAGTAAATGTTTAACTTTAATTCTTCTAGGAGATTGTGACTATGATTGAGAGCCTGCGAGCAAAACTCCTGACTGAGCGAAGAAGAAATCTGGTTCAGGAAATGGAAATTCGCAAGGAAATGGGAGACGCCATGTTGCAACAACTCATGGAGAGTGAAGAACTCCGCAGGTAGGTTATTTATCTATTTGCGTTTTTGGGGGGCTTTTGCCTGTTAACTGATAGGAGCTACCAGGGCGCCCCAGGTAGGTTATTTATTATATGCAAGCGATAGCCAGCGATGCAGTTGTTGGGTATTGTATGTCTACAGTATATTTTTGTGATTTCACTTTGTCTGGCAAATTACTGAATGCATAAACTTCTCATATATGCAGTCATTGTCAGTGGTCATTTCAGCTACATCTCCCATGTCCTCTTGTTACCTTAATGTTCAGCCGACAGATAGAAGAGCTTAAGGAGAGCTACCAAGAGAAGCTGGAGAACACTTTTGAGATGTACAAGGATGCTTTCAAAGAGCATGCCTACCAGAGTGCCATGAACAATCTGGAAGACGACTATGTGCCTCTTGATGAGTTCATCGCAGAACAGGAGAAAGTGGAGGTATGTCCTTTAAACAGCTGCTAACAGGGCAGAAAATGTCTGTTTTTAATGGGTCCTTAATCTCCTCTCCTGCCAGACCTGGGACTGGGTTTATCACTAAAGTAATGCACTCCACACAAGCCTCAGATTTTTGGGTTCTCATTAAAACTTCAAGTATGACTCTACCTCCTGTGTAGGCCCTCAAACGTAAGGTGTCAGAGTTGGAGAGCTTACCGTCCAGTATCAGAGGAGGAGCATGTGTTGCTCCAACAGTGGACCAGTCGTGCCAGACTCAACCGTCTAAAGCAACAGAAGCAGCAGGTTAGCTCAGCATCGTCCTCTTTTAGGAAATCCCTTCTGAATTTAGTTGTTTTAAATCTCTAATAATCAGAATTTGTATGTTGTCCTGTCAGTCTTGTTTCACTGGGCTCACCAGTGATTGTAAGCAATGTGCCCTTACAATTTTTGTTGTAAAGGGCAGTAAACTTCACTCAGCTCATTTTATCCCCACAGCAGATGAGAGATGCAAACGGCTTTACAAAGAAAAATGTGCCATGGAGAGAATGTGTGAAGATAAACAACAGGTAACAGGGACAAAATTAAAGTGATGCATCTCGATGAAACGTTGGCTCAGTCTGGTTATGTGATCACTTGCTCAGTTTTCCATTTAATGTTTGGTTCAGTTGATTTTGTCCCTAGAGAAAAGGCTGATGGAGCTTAACGAAACACTTCAGTATGTCAGAGATGGCTTCCTGGAGAAATCAGCTGATCTGGAGACTCTGCAGAGGAAGGCGGAAGATCAGGTGAGGTGATTCAAAGTAGGGGAAGCCTGAGGTTTGGGGGCAGCAAATTTAAATCATACTTCTAATGGCTTTTAAAAATAATACAACATGATGACTTAACAAGGATGGAAATTATTGTTGTACGTGGGTTAAATGTTCGTTTTTTTTTTTGTTTTTTTTTTTGTCTCCCTCAAGACAAAATCTTTGGAGGATGTCCTACTGCAGAACGTTGATAAGGATAGAGAGATTTCCTCACTTAAGGCAGAACTTGCCAAACTCTCCCAGGAGTCCCCTGTGCAGCCCAAACCCAAACGAGGCCTGCTTGCCAACCTCAGGGAGGCGGTGACTTCTCCACGGAAGGCTACAACTGCGCGGACGCTCAGGAAAACGTCTAGGACTGCCACTACCACTAAAAAGCCCAGCATCTGAAAAGTGACTGATTATTTTATTCAGGTGGAGTGTTTCTTGTGATGGTATTTTTAAATGTTTTAATGTGTTGTGTTTTTTTAGGTTTTTAAAAAAAATAAAATTAATTGTATCAAACGTGTAGGCATGATGTAATTCATCTGAATTGACGGTCAATTCATTCCTCGGATTTTTCCAATTCTAAGCACTGTTGGTATGACGTCATTTTATGGCCACAGCATGCACATGTATGGTTTCTTTTCTTGTGGTGTGCTTGTTCCTCATAGAAACCTTGTTATACATGCATACACACACCGCTATAGAAATGTCACGCCATGAAACTTTTTATCAACCTGGTCAAATGAGGCCATCCATTATCTAGAGCCTGAAGGAAAGCAAAGCACAAAAGACCCAGTTGGGACAAAGAAACACATTTGTTACTTTTAAGTGCATCACTATTCACTATTTAATTTGCCTGTTTGCCTGTTGTCTATATTTATACTCATCAGTAAAATCCCTCAATTGTAAACCATCATAATAGAAGAAACGTGAAAATAACATTTCTACCATCCTGATAGAATATTTTTTATGTAGTGTATTGGCCTTTTACAGTTGAGGTGAATGAGGTGAATCCAGTGTGGTGTGCATGAGATAACAGAGCGCAGCCTCCTCAGTTAGTGAAAGGACCATTGTGGTAGACAGCCAGCTGCTCTTCTATCTCGCTGGTCTCAGTGATAGTTAATGAGATTAGCCGTCCGTCCTAGTCTGCGTCAGTCCAAAGGGGTCAATCACAGGATTAGCACCTTGCTTAAGAGTTACATCAGTTTATTACACTTTTTTTCTCCTCATTACTTTGATTTTCCCACCTCTGCCTCTTTGTGGGACATTTTCCAGCCTCCAAAGCATGTTTGACACCTGTAATTGCAGTTCAGTGATTGGAGTGGAATTTTGCAATGCATCGTGTGGCTTTGAGACGGAGTCTGTCTCAACCCTCAGCCACTGAATGAAGCATCTTCCAGGGGAAGAAGAGGAGCAGGGGCAGCCAGAGGAGTGAAGGGCCGCTGGGCCAAAATCTTGCCTGCTGTGGCAGAGTCTCAGACTCTGGACAAGGCATCCTCATGCCACTTATAAATAACAAGGTGGGCGATGATTGCACAGTCGGCACAGACAAGGCTTTGGCTGATGGAAAGGTTCTGGTGGACTCTCTGATAAAGGTAAGCCGCTCCAAGTTTTAACTTTTTTTTTCTCAATAAAAAGGACAAAGAATTCTCTCTGCTTGTTGTATTTATTACAGCAGGTTCAGTCCTGCAACTTTCCGTCTAATACAGTTCTAAAAATGTAATGTCAGAAAACAACTATGAGGTTGACAGTAGTTTTACACAGCAGTCATCTGCATTTCATTTGCAAATATTTGTGAATTGTAGAATTAACAAATTGACAGTTCAATATTGCAAAAGAGGGAAAAATATGGAAAAATGCATCATAAAAACCTAAATATGTTTTGCACTAGGAATAATTATACCATCTTTACTATGTTCTGTTTTAACTCTAATGTTCATATGTCACAGACTACACATCCACACAGCGTCTAAGCATCTTTTCCCCCTGTGGCTAAAAAAGCACTCTCACTGAAAAGAATTTCTTGGTCCACTGCATCTTTGTGACTGTCCTAGAATCTGTGTTAGATAATGCCTGACATCTTTCTGTGTTATTGCTATGTATTTACTTTTAACTATAATTTGCTTAAGGGTTTGCCATGTAATGTATTTTTTTATTTTTTATTAATTCACCCAAAATCATAGCAGCAGTGTCACATATTGAGAACTTTATTTGTTATTGTATTATTTGTATTCAGTGTGCCCTCCTGTCATCTATCAATGCTCTGAGTGCACAAGGTTGTTTTGGCTTATCTAGAAATAGATCAATGATAATCTGATTATTTGTAATATTTTTCATTGAAACCCCACCTGCTAATCCTCCAGGGCTAAGCGAATGCCTATTAATAAAACATTATGCTAACATACGATTTAGATCATAGAACTGGAACTGTACCATTTTACACATTTTGCAGTAATTGTTGGAAGCAGCTTTAAATAACGTATGAATATTAATCATAACCCTATTTCTTATCAACCCAAAAACGTATTTCTTTCATGAAGCACTTACTTTGTCTGAGTTGTCTTGTTAACACTGGCTTAAAGACATATTTCAAGCTTATGGTATTAATGTGTTCACTAGTGGACAGTTACTCAGAGGGCTTATAGGGGCACTGTGACTGATTACTGTATACTTGATGAGGTGGTTGAAGCATAGCAGCCCCAAGCTACCAGGAGCCCTCTGTTACTTGCTCCTCCTTCTAGTAATCACTTCTCTGAGATTTACAGCGAGGACATTGAAACACATTCACTCTAAACTCCAGAGGTGTAGCACACAGCTTCAGAATCCTGCATATTAATTAACACATTTCCTTTTCCTCATACAGGTGGTGGCATGTTACCGGCACTTGGCCTCGTGTGTCGGCGGGTGCACGGACAGCTTGCAGCTGCGGGATGAACTGCGACAAACACGCGAAAAGGCCCAAAAGTTGGCCATGGCCATCTGTCAACATCTGACCTTGCATCTCAGAGACAAGAGCCTGCCTGAGGAGCAGCGTAAGGAGATGGAGCTCCTTTGGGTGGCCTTCTCCTCCAGCCTAGAGCTCCTGCATGTTGACATGAGCAAAGTTTTCAACATGAGTGACATCTTCTCTCTGGCCAACACTGACACTCTGGTGCAAACTGGCCTACAAGGTGAGATAGCCTGCACCTCTGCTTGTATTTCAGGCAGTAGATTAGCCAATGAGAAAGAGGTAATACAACAAATATTAAAGTTGGAATCTACAAAATAACTCCACTACTACTATTTCTACTAGAGATTATTTAGATGTGAATGGGACTGTCATGTCTTGCCAGGTTAATATCATTAACTAACTAGAGGAACTAGATTAGGGGTGCCTAAACTTTTTCCCCTTAAAGGGCCAAAACTCAAACTTAATGGCGTGCCAAGGCCCAAATACAAATGACTATTGTATTGTAATGTTAACATGCGAAATAGTAGCATCTCAAGTTACTTCTGCTGACTTCCTGTGGCAATTAAGGGAACTTGAGTTTCATTGTGCTCACATTATGTAAAATGAATGACCAAATGTGACTTTAAATAAGTTAGAAAACAGCAGCACTTTATTGGACATTTGCTGACGTTGAAGTGAATCAGTGATTAGCCTGAGGGGGAGCACAGCATCACGTCTTTGTCTGTGCACATCTCATGGCTTTCATGTACCAGTCATCTGAGTAGTGTTGTCAGTAGTTGTGTATTTGTTACAAAATTTGGCAGCCTATCAGGCAATTTTAAAAGCTACTTAAAAGATTAAAAAACCTATCATGAAAACAACTGTTATTAAATACCAGCCTGTTGGATGATCACAGGAAGTTCGTCTCAAGTGGTCAGGATTGTTGCAAATCAATAACGAGATACAAAATCTTTTTGTGAACAGCTGACAAAAATAAATGTGTATTTGATTTCCAAATGAATCGGATGAGTCGGATTTATAAAGATCATCTGACATGATTTAGAGGATGATTTTTTGAGCTGGCATCAGAAAGAAATGGTGGCAAATTCACTCTAGTTTATTAGGTACACCTAGATAATGCAACTTATGCAGTCTAATACAACAGCCTTGCAATAAATCCTCCTTCATGAAGGTTATAATGTTCAGTTTTTGATGAAACAGTTGTTGATAGTAGGCTAAACAACAGATACAGATGCGTCTCAATAAATTAGAATATCAT